CACATTAAGATATAATAGCTATATAAATAATGTAAATTTTTAAAATATCAAATAAAAGAACACCGCTTTAAAAAATATGCCAGTAAGGTGTGTAGTTTACTAACTTATTATTTTATTCCAAAAATATATATTTCACAGAAACAAGATGCTTTAGTATCACATTATAAATAAAGTTTGAAGGTTATCTTTTGATTTTATAAAATTGTTCATCTACTGCCCTGGCTGGTATAGCTCAGCGAATTGAGCACGGGCCTGCAAACTACACAATTGCGGTTCGATTCCCAGTCAGGGCACATGCCTGGGTTGCAGGCTGGTTCCCTGCAGGCCAGTTCCCAGCAGGGGATGCATGAAAGGCAACCATACATTGATGTTTCTCTCCCTCTCTCCTTTCCTTCCCCTCTAAAGATAAATAAAATAAAAAATAAAATCTTAAAAAAAATTGTTCATCTATTGGAAAGGCAGGATGTTGAAGACAGTTAACATATATCATGATTCATAAAGTATTGGTGTTGGAAGCCTTAGGAAACCAAGTTTATATGACATGAAAACGAGTTAAAACTTCTAGAAAACGAGACTTCTAATTTTAGGTTGTTTGAGTAACCAAAGGAAAACATCATTGCCATTAAAAGAACTTAAAAAAACAAACCTCTCAACAAAAGTTATCTGTTGAGAGACACCAAAGAGCTACTCACAAGGTTGCCCTGAGCGGGTTAGATTCTGTGGTGGTGAGCTCCATGGGGAGGTGAGCTGAGTTTGCAGCTGGTTATCCCAGGGTGCGGTATCAATTACAAGAAAGGAAGGCACAGTTTGAATGTATTGAATAACAAAATTAGAGGTTGGGAATTCAGATTTTGCTCAGCTAGATGATCGCTGCTGGGAGAGAGAGAAAACAGCAGAGGTTTTTATGATTACATGGGGCTGGTGAGATAAACTTGGCAGTTTTTGAGGCCTAAAGTATTGAATTTTTTCCCTGAATACATTTACAGATCTCAAGCTCTAAGTTACACAGAATTAAAATGCTAGGCAAACAGCCTCTGAAAATTAAGTCATTTTATTCATTTGTTTCTGCAAGATTATCATAACATTTTAATAAAGGCAACAATCTAATATTGTTTGTTGCCTATCATAGTAATGCTTTACCCATTTTCTCACAAATCCTTGAGCCATTTGAGATCAACTTGCAAAAATAGTGCCTATAATCCTCAAAGACTTAGTATTTATTTTGTTTAAATAAGGACATTCTTCTACATAATCACAATATAACCATCAAAATCAAGAAGTTAGTATTGATACATTACTAATCTAATCATCCAATTAAGAAGGATTTAAGCCCTGGCTGGTATAGCTCAGTGGATTGAGCTTGGGCCTGCGAACCAGACAATCGCAGTTCGATTCCCAGTCAGGGCACATGCCTGGGTTGCAGGCCGGTTCCCTGCAGGCCAGTTCCCAGCAGGGGATGCGCAAAGGGCAACCATACATTGATGTTTCTCTCCCTTTCTCCTTCCCTTCCCCTCTAAAGATAAATAAATTTTTTTAAAAAGTGGATGTAAAAAAGTTTAAAAAAAAAAAGAAGGATTTAGTTTAAAGATATTAGGTGAGGCCATACAAGGTAGTGACCCTGTTGAGTAGGTGGGGGGGGCATGATATTTAGATTCCTGTATCAGAACCTGATAAGGCTTAGAAAGACATTTACCAATGATGATAATTCCTAAAACAGAACAGCAAGCCCGAAGCAGAATGAAGACAGTTATGTCCTCTTGGAAAGGTGGCTTGCAATGCAGAGGTCAGAGAATTAATAGAAGATGAAAGTCTTATGCATGACAGAGTGACCAAGCTGAGGGTGGGAAGGTCAGACCAAGCAGATAATGCATCCAGTAGGGGCTAAGGGGACGAGGCAGTTTATCATAAATTTTAGAGGCTGACTGAGAAGAAGAGGGTACCCATATGAGGGAAGGTGGGTTGCGAGAAGTCAAAAACAGAACAGGGTTAGAAAATATCCCATGGGATGAGCTACCTTGGTTCAAGGGGAATTAGGAAGGTTTCCCCATAGAGGAGTAGCCTAGGATGGAGTGTTGGCATTGTGGTTTATTTTGCAATTTGGAACAAATCATAAGAAATTTCAGTGAATTGGAAGTTTTTTCTTATTTGTAAGCTTGATATTCTGTTATGTTTATTTAGATTTATTACAGTTTGTTTATGGTAGATTTTCTAGTAAATCTACAATTTGGTTCTTTAAATTTTTTCACTTTTTTTATTGTTGTTCTAGTATAGTGGTCACCATATTACCTCTACCACTCCCAACTATGCCAGCCATCCCCATCTCCCACCCTTGATCCTAACCCTTTTTGGTCTTGTCCATGTATCCTTCATACATGTTCCTGAAAAACCTTTCCTCTTTTCCCCCATTGGTTCTTTTTTATAGCTTATGACTTTATATATACTTTGTTTCATTTTTACATAAGATATTACTTATTTATATTTTAGAGAGAGGGGATGGGAAGGAGAAAGAAAGGCAGAGAAACATCTATGCCTGAGAGATACATTGATTGGTTGCCTCTCATACACCCCCAGCTAGGGACCCAGCCCGCAACCCAGGCATGTGCCCTGACATGAACTGAACCAATATCCTTTTGGTTCACAAACCTGCTATAATCCACTGAGCCACACCAGCCAGAGAACCTTTTATATACTATGTAATCTAAATATTTTTTATTTAGTCATTTTGAGAAAATTACTTTCATTTTGTTTCAATAAATGTGTATTATACATTTTTGGTAAAAGCTTCATATTTTTAAAAATGTATTATTACATTGGCCAAAAAGTTCATATGTCTTTTTTCCCCTGTAAAATAAAATATTTTTATAAAGATTTTATTTATCTTTAGAGGGGAAGGAAAGGGGAGAGGGGGAGAAACATCAATGTATGGTTGCCTTTCATGCATCTCCTGCTGGGAACTGGCCTTCGGGGAACTGGCCTGCAACCCAGGCATGTGCCGTGACTGGGAATTGAACCACGATTGTTTGGTTCGCAGGCCCGCGTTCAATCCACTGAGCTACACCAGCCAGGGCAAAAAACAGATTTTTTATTTTCAACAATGACTTTATTGATTTGGATATATTGAGGATGTCAGCTATTTCCTGCTATTGGATTTAGGAGTAGAAGCCAAAAGTTCTGATAAACATCTTCTGATACATAAGACAGCCCCACAGCAAACAATTATTTGGCCAAAATGTTAAGAGCACCGAGGAACTGCAAACCATTTTTGACACACTCAATCTGTTACAGCACCTTCTCCCCACACTGCACATTTTTTCCATTTTAGTTGCATTTTTACCTTTCTTGATATAATAAAGCATAAAGCATAATACACTGAAAATGTTGCTTATTTTCTTCCATCTTCAATATTAAAATGGCTACACAAAAATTCACCAATTTTTATAAGATTTTTTAAATTCATTCTGCTATGACAGCTGTCACAATACAATCTAACAAAATTGTTTTGAATGAAGTTAAAGCCAACTAGGCACACCTAGAGCCATCTTATAGAAAAAGACAAATGACCTTTTTGGTGAACTCAATAGAATAATTTGAAAATTGATCTCATTAATAAAATAAGAACTTGAGAGTACAGACTGACAATCACTTTAATCACATAGCACTCAAAATGGACTGCAGATAGTATTTCTTTCAGAAGATATATAAATAACATATTCATATGGTCATAATTATCTGAGTTTTGGGGAGGTCTTTAAATGTAATAATTAAAAACTTGGTAGATAATGAATATTATAAATTAAGAAAAATCAAAGTAGCAAAGTCATCATATTTATACAATGCTATCTGTAAAATTACTTTGATGCTGCAGTGCAGATGTAAAATAGTACACTTAAAGCCTTTTCAAAAGACTGGAGTTTAGAAACCAATGTATATTACCTGTGTATGTACACGATCTGGCACAAATAATGCCCCTTTTTCATTACATAAAAATATTTTGTTACAAAATCATAAGCATGTGCCCTGGCTGGTGTAACTCAGTGGATTGAGCGAGGGCCTGCGAACAAAAGGATCATGATTCGATTCCCAGTCAGGGCACATGCCTGAGTTGCAGGCCAGTTCCCAGCAGAGGACTCACGAGAGGCAACCATACATTGATATTTCTCTCCTTCTCTTCCCCTCTAAAGATAAATAAATAAAAGAATTTTAAAAATCATAAGCATGTAATTCTGTAACATAATATCACACTCAAGCACACCATTTGGCATTTTTAGAGGAAATGTTCAAATTGCCGTCCATCTCGTGCAAGATACTCACATACCCTACCAACCACACTAAATGGCATTACTTCTGCTGGACCCTGTACATCTTGTTGACTATGTGGGTATTTCAGATGTACAATCCCAAGTATTAGCTCACTTAATTAATGTCTATCATTAATTTTCTAATTCAAAATAGAGCATTACAGAGAATTTTAGAAATGAATCTTTAAAACTCTGACAAAATAAATATGATAATTTATTATCTTCGGTTAGTTGAAAATAATAATCATCTAGTGTATCTTTCTCTTCTGTAAGATTATTAATATTTCCTAAGCCATTAAAAATGATTAAGAGTAAACATGAATTGGTGTTTCAGGATTCTTAGTGTATCATCCCAGCAGTAGAATTGTCAGGTCAAAAGACACTTCCATTTTTATTTTTTTGAGGAAATTCCACCAGTTCAAAAGAACCTACGCACCCCAATGCTCATAGAAGCACAATTTACAATAGGCAAGTGCTGGAAGTAACGTAAGTGCCCATCATTAAATGAGTGGATCAAACAACTATGGTACATTTACACAATGGAATACTGTGAAGCAAAAAGAAAGAAGGAGCTCCTACTCTTCACATCAGCATGGATGGAACTTGAGAGCATTTATGCTAAGTGAAGTAAGTCAGGTAGTAAAAGACGAATGCCATATGATCTCACCTTTAACTGGAACCTAATCAACAAAACAAACAAGCATGCTCACTTCGGCAGCACGTAGACTAAAATTAGAATGATACAGAGAAGATGAGCATGGCCTCTGCGTAAGGATGACACTCAAATTCGTGAAGCGTTCCATATTAAAAAAAAAAAAGCAACATATAGCCAGAGGCACTGAAATTAAGAACAAACTGATAGTAACCGAAGGGTGAGGGGAGGGGGAGAATGGGAGAAAGATGGGAAAGGGTCAAGGAAGATATATAAAGGACCCATGGACAAAGCCAAAGGTGGCTAGGATTGAGGGTGGAGGTTGGGGGGGCAAGAGAGAGTAGTGGGAGGAAAATGGAGACAACTGTACTTGAACAACAATAATAAAAAAGGATAATCCTGTTGGTAAAGCAAATAAAAACTATTAATAACACATGAATTATCAACAATAAAAATGAAAATACAAAACATTTGAAAGTGTTTATATAAAGAACTATTCATAAGCACTGTGTCAAGATTTTATATATTTACAAATGCATAATAATCATAATATATTAAGAAAAAACAAAATCAAGGAAGATCAGTTCTAAAGTTAGAGATTTACTTAAAAATAAGTTATGTGAAAATGTGAGAACATAACACAACATTAACAGTCAAAGAGATATTTTGGCAGTGAGGGAGCAACCTGAGAAATAAATATAAGAACCCAATGAGTACATGAATATCATTATCTATCTAACATCAAAATGTGAATTTATAATTCGCAAAGACACCAGGTTGGTTAATGTGAAGTAATAAAAATACATAAAAGTTAAATTTGTAGGGCCATAGAAAGAATCCTAATATTGAAAGAGTATAAGGACATATGAGCCATAGGGAGAAAATTCTTACACGTATGTAGTTAGAGTCTTAAAGGAGAATAGAGAGAGATACAAGATAAAATACATGTTTATAAAATATCAAGCAAACATTTTCAAATGCTCATGGCATACATCAAGATACCAATTCAATACAAATTTTAAACCCTGAACAGGGTGAACATAAAAAATGACTTATAAGTTTGTCAAAGTGTCAGAAAGACAAAAAGAAAAGCTTAAAAACTTTTAAAAGTTTTTGATGATGGAGAAAAATCATCCTTAGCTTCAATAGTTGTGGGAGAAAAAAATCTGCCTGCCTAGAATCCTATGCTTAGCAAATATATATTTCTTAAATGTAGGTAAAATAATAACATTTTCCAAAAAACAAAAACCAAGAGAACTTGGTATTAAGGAAATACTAAAGAGAGCTCTGATAGAAAAAAAAATGATCCCAGATGGATCCATATAAAATGTGTGAAAGGAGGACAGAGAAGGGCGAAATACAATGACTTTTTAAGTAAATAATAAAGTCTTATGAACTTTACAGCATATGTGCAAATAAAACATACTATAGCAATTGTTAAGGGTCCCCAAAACCACCTGCATTTGTAGTAATTCACTAGAAAGAGAGACTGGGCATATAGCTAGTCTCAGGGATCAGATTTATTGTAGAAATAGCAACATAGTAACACATTAACACTAAATACACAGCTGGGTCAGTAAGGGGAAAAGACAGAAAGTCTGCAGCAATACATGAGCAGGCTTCCTGTACTCTGGTCCTTCCCTGAGAGTTCCCTACAACAGAGAAAATATAGCAACATAGTGCAGTATTTCTGCTCAGGAAGACCCAAGTGAGGCAAAGAGTTTAGGGGTGTGTGTGTGTGTGTGTGTGTGTGTGTGTGTGTATCTTCATGGGGGGCACACTTAGCTCAACTATTGGACTCATGGAGGAAAGCAGATGTTCACTATAAATCACACTGTAGGCACAGAGAGACAACTTATCAGTTAGGGAGCATTTCAGAAGCAAAGTCTCCAGATGGTAGCCAAGTAGGCCCTTCTAAAGATAACAGCCTCAGGCCTCCTTTCCTGCACAGTAACAGCAGCTTGAGGAGTAGGAAGGGAGAAAATTAAATTGTTAGAAAGTTCTGTCATTGCTCAGAAAGTGATAAAAAATGCAAGCTCTAGAGTAACAACCAAAGTAATAACTAAGCATACAGAACCAAAAAAGATAATAGATGAGAAAAGTGAGAAATGAGAAATAAAAGGGGAAGAAAACTAGTGTCATAAACAGGTAAACACAAAGTGTGGTGGTAATTGGAAAACCCAAGATATCATATGCTGATACAATAGTCCACCAGGAAACAAAGACTGTCAAATTGGAAAAATAAATTAAAAAATAAGAGAAACTAAAAATTCAACTATGTAATATTTATAAGAAATACATATTAAATACAGTGACACAAAGTTTGAAAGCAAAAGAATGGAAAGCAGATAAGTGCACCAACCAAAGAAAACTGGTAAAGTTAATATCACACAGCAGGATGCATCCAATGGTAATAAGTAACAGCCCTAAATTTGTATGTGTCAAACATTGGGTATATAGAAGCCATAACATTAAAATGATATCATTTACTATTGCAAATCTCAAAGGATACATTTAATGAAATACAAGATGGGGCAAAAGTTTCAAGTATGTGAAATATAGTTTATATCTGTATTATTATTTATTAATACTCATATTGCTTTCCATATGAACAACTTAGACCTACTATTGCCCAACCATGTATTTTCAAGATTTCAACATGGAAAACTTAAAAACATGATTGAGAAAAATATTAATAAGACCTAAATGAAGAAAAGGAAATATCATGTATATTGATAAGTAGGTATAATGTTGTAAAAATGTCAATTTTCCCCAGATTATTTCATAGATTAGCAGCAAGCTTAATAAAGATTCCCAAAACAGCCCAAAAGTTATATTGCTTACTACAAGAACAAATCTGGAAAATGATACTATCAGACATCAATCTCAGAAGTTATATTAATTAAAACTATGTGGTACTGCTGTTAAAGCAAATAATTAGGTCAATAAAACTGATTAGCAAAATTGGAACTGCTTACAGATGTATTGTCATCTTTATGCAGTGAAGTGGGGGTGGAATAAGTTGTTAGAAGCACAACTTTCAACAGGTCGAGGTTTAGGAAACATGTAAATTCATGTGCCGTAAAGAGCAGGCTTCGGCTCGACGGGGTGATGGACGAGGTCATAGGAGTGCTTTCTGGGATGCTGCACATGGTTCTCACTTGACTCAGGTCATGCTTACATGAATATATGCGTAAGTAAAAATTTACCCAACTGTTCTCTTAGGATTTGTGCACTTTACTCAATAAATGAATAAAACTGTGCTCCATGAGTTACCAGCAGCACAAAAATGTCCAATGCTCAAAATTCATACAGAACCTGTCACTGAGTGACTAGGAAAGGACTCACTGAGCACTATGGAAATCGATTGTTCCAGAGACCATTGGATCTACATAAACGAATACTTGAGTACGTGTTCATTTATGTAGAAATTATGGAGAAATAGTGTGCATGCAAATTGAAAAGCTAAAAAAGTGCTAATGTTTTCTCTTACAAGAATTACTCTATGAAAATTTTGGAGATGTGATATTTGGGACCCATCCTTTGTGGAAAAGATGTCAGAATAATTGATGATCAAGTGCTTAGAGACTTGGCAGTATCAGAGACAACTCTGCCCAGGTGGAGGCTGAGGGTGGGTAGCAAACTGATATGCCCTAAACAGCAGAATCTGAAGTGTCAGTGTTGAAACTCTAATGAGATCATTGGAAAGCCTAACCTGTTCCCATATAGAGACATTTAAGAAAAAATGAGAAAATCAGAAATAGACAAAAGAAAAATTTGGTTGATCTGTCTAGTGCAACTCTGCTTTATCACCACTATTCATTGTCTTTGAAATATTTTATGACAGTAATTGTAGAAAATTAATAATAATGCATATTATTCTTTTTTATAGGAAGACAAACTATGTCCAGTGAAATACAATTAGATGTTAATCTATGAATTGTGACCTGTTTTGAATTTATTTAAAAATTTATTCCACTTTCATAATTGTCTATTTATGTGCATCCATTGAACTTTCCTTATTCGGTGAAATAAAATGATTGATGTGTGTTTATCTTATATTTGCATAAGTGTCATATCTTTTCTAACAAAATTAATAGGTGGAAGATTAAGCTTTTAAATTGTGAGTAGTAGCTATTAAAGTTTTGGACTTCTGGAGTTAAAAATGGAGATAAACATTGTTCTCTTGTACTTTTTTTCTGTCACAATGTAAAATTGTGCAGCAACTATGAAAAACAGAATTGAAGTTGCTCTAAATATTTAAAATAGAACTACCATGTGATCCATCAGTCCTACTTCTGAATATGCGGGCACAGTAATTAAAATCAGGACATTGAAAAGAGCTGTGCACTCCCGTGTCTGTGGCAGCATTCTGCACAATAGGCAAGAAATAACCTAGGCGTCCTGAGAGATGAATGGATGAAGAAAATACTGTATATTCATACAAGGAAACATTAAGCCTTAAAAAGGTGACAAAATTATCATTTGTGATGATATGGATGAAACTGGAGGGCATTACACTAAGGAACATGAGTTAGTCACAGAAGGACGCATACGGCATGATCCCACTTATATAAGGTATATAAAATAGTTACTTCCTGTCAGAGAGGCAGAGATTATTATACTGGTTTCTAGAAGCTGGGTGGGAAATGGGGTAGATAGAGAGTTGTTGTCCTAAGGGTGTCACATTTTATTTATGCTACATAAATAAACTCTAGAGAGCCTCTGTGTGAAATGGTGTCTATAATTTAACAACATGATATTATACATTTTACTGTTTTTAACCTGGTAGATTTCATGTTAACTATTCTTAGCACATACACACAAACACACAAACAAAAGAGTACAAAAGGGAGAGGCTGAATATGTCTAATATATATATTTTGGTGATGGTATCATGGTATTTGCATATGTCTGAACTCATAAAATTGTACACATTAAATATGTGCAATTATTTTATATCAATTATACATAAATAAAGCTGCTAAAATATTAAAAAATCAAATATTTAGGAATAAATAGAAGAAAAGTCATCCCAAAATTTCTGTGGTAAACAGTGAAATAATGTAAGAAACAATTAGGAAGACCTAAAATGTTTTGTAGATATAGAATAATCATTTTCTGAAAGATTCCTTATTGTAAAAATATTAATTTACT